CCCCAAAACCCCAAAACCCCAAAACCCCTTTTGTGCACCATTTGTTGAGAGATATTTCGAAATGTTATATTTTTGTGCTTCTGAATTTATGTAACAGATTTTTCATTTTCAAAGAGGTTCTAATATCAGGAGAATGAGATGGAGACTTCCTCATCTCTTGTCGCATACCTCTCAGAGGCTTTGACTGTGACTTAGCATGCTGGGCATCTCTATGAGCTTTAACTACACTCATCAGCTTTCTATTTCTGGACAAGAAATCAGCTTTTTGAGTTGCTTTCTTAATATCCTTGTGAGCATTACTTAACTTAGAGAGATGTTTCATATTTTTCTTTGTTGTGCTTGGGCCCAGTAAAGACTTATGAGCATTATCTATATAATATAAGATCAAATTCTCACAATGCTTTGGCTTAATCGATACTTTTTCTTTAAGCCAAGACTTGCTGAGCTTCTTTAGTTCGGTCCTGAAGTTTTCGCCTGATGGGTTTCTACAAAATTACTCTAGAAATTTACCGAAGAGTTGGATTTCTCTGTTCCTGGCTTTTCTTGTGCTTTTGAGTTCAGAGTGTTTTTCTTCAAGATTTTTGGGAGATCCTGGGCAGCTTTTGAACAGAAGCAGCCTCTTGTCGCTTGAGAGATCTGTTCTTGCTTCTTGTAGCACGATCTCTTCGGAGTTTGGGCTGAGAGTTGTGAAGAGGAGTCTTTGGCAAAGCTTTGGATCAAGGAGACACGGTGAAACTTGTTGTTTGATTTCAGTAGTTATGTGTGGTATTTTGAGGTTTTGAGAGATTTTCGGAGGAGGTAGGTATAAAAGATGAGTTTAGTTGAATAGAAGGACGTGTTGAGACGGAGAATGATGCCTTTTGAGTTCAAGTTGTCGAGATAGACTTGCTCTTCTGATGGTGAATTGCTGTTTCCGAATTTTTCAATTTTTGGATTGGGCATTCTTGAGCTTCATTCTCGTCAAAAATATCAATATTATCATCATTTCTAATCTTTGTTGGGTAGTTTTGCTCAGTTTTGAATGAAGAAGCTATATCTTTCTGAAGGTTTCATTTTTCAAAAACGATCTCATTATCTTCTATCTTGGTCTATAAGTTAAGATAATTTGTTACCTTAAAAACTTTGTTAACCTTGAAATCCGATATACTATCAGCATAGGGCACTTGAGTAGAGGCAGAGTTATAATTAGCTAAATTAGGTCATATCTCAGATAACTCCATAGCATTATAGTCTTCTTCCCCATGCTCTAACTGCTCAACATCACCAACTATTGTGAAAAATGGTTTGGTTGCCTTCACCTTATGTTTTGGCCTAAATTAAGGGATAAAATTATAACAAAAATGAGTAAACCCTCAGCTATTGGGTGTAAAATTCGTACTTCTTAGAATTCCTGTCTCCCTTCTCCCTGCATGGAGCCTTACTCCTGGTATAATAGTTCTTCAACTTGTTGTAATAGCTCATTATTAAATCAAATTGTATAATTTTTAATAAATGAAAATTGCTAATCACCTGTTTAGTTCAATCTTTTCAGAGAAATAGGGGTTTTGGGGTTTTGGGGTTTTGGGG